AATTTGTTATAAGAAAATGCAGCTCTATCATTTGGTTTGTTAAATGAATCGTCATTCAACTGACACTAAATGGCTGTGAGGGCTATAAGCACCCATTGATGGAGACTCTCTGTGAATAGAATTACAACTAAGCAAAATTAATTTTAGGAAGGACAATGAAAGAAGACAAAAGAAAACGCCATTTATCCCTTTTAATAGAAGAATAAAATACCGTATTTTATAGCTCGCAGAATCTGCCTGGTGACTCTGCACGTGGCTACTTAGTCACAACAACTTCAGCGGCATTGTTGCTAAACACTTTGATAAAATACAACCTTTACTTGTGACAATTACACACTGCCAAAAGTAATATATTGCCAACTGTGACTTGTCTCTTGACACGGCTATTCCATTGTAATGTTAAAATGTTAATTAAAGATTTTTCGAGTGTGTTTTTTGTTTCTACTGACTCAAGGATGTGTCTGTAATTACTTGGCGGTGTTCTTGTGATGCTTGGCGTTGACTATTCCATGTGGAGTGTACCTGTTCGACAAAGACTGAAAAGGGTCACATCTGTAAAAAGAAGCACAACTTTAATATGAATACCCATGTTTTCGTTGGGCTATTATACTTATATCCTAATTTTTACTTTCAACTGATGTCTTGCGAGTGCCATTTCATGTTTCACATGTTGCAATTCGTGCTCTCGGCTTTGAATCTGTAATCTTGCTCATGATATTCGTTTTCTTACGACATAAATTGCAGAACTTATCAAAGAGTGTAGAACAAAAAACTGTTCTATAAAATAATAAATCACACAGAAAAAAGTGGCAACTCTTGTTTTGAGTTGGAGATGAGAAACGTCCTTTTTCTGTTCATAGAAACAATTGGCTTTCGTTGTCCTTGGTTTCGAAGCCTCATGGATTCGTCGCTAAGAAACAATAAATATTCACACAAGTTAAGGAAATGGCAGAGACTGACAATAGTAGTAACAGTGGAAATTAAAGTGAAGTGAGTTTGCTAAAACGCTTAAAACACACAAAGGAGCGATGTCCGGTGAGCTTTATTCTTGAAATTTCTGCTCACGAAAGGCTGGGTTTAGACATTGTGTGGCAGAAATCGAAAAATCCCAGACTGTCTACACTTTGTTATATTTATGACTATAAATGCTTAATTTATTCAGCATAATTTTTTTCTTCAGTACACCTCGATGTTGAACTGTCGATTAACATATAACAAGCCGAAAATATTATCTTAAAAGTACGGCAAAAATGTTTTACAGGCTGTTGGTGAAGACATTATCATTGTAATCTTCTGATCCAATTAGTGATTTTTTCTCTCGTATGTTATCAAAGTCGATTTATGACTATTCTTGAAATAACTCTTTGTAGTCGTGATGATTCGTGTTTTCAATTGATAACAACCAACTTCGCACGATAAATCTTTTGCTAAATTTCCATACGACCTTAAACCAGGCAGGCTAAAACGTAAGGCAAATGAATTAATCAGCGAGGCCGCCGCAAATGATAACATCGTTTTATAGCGATTAAGCTAAAAATAAGTATTTTTATTAGTTTGCTGATGTTGTACTTTGTTAATTGCGTGATTTATCGTTTCACATTGTTATTGAATTCAGCTCGCTAGAGCACGAAACTTTTTTTTTGTATTCACGCCACTGGCTATGATTTCATCCCTTGTATCAGCGACCATTGAAAAAATTCTAAAACAATCTGACCAAGTGATGAGTAACAACGACCAATCTTGCCACTTAAGCCGATATCTCTCGTTATCGCTCAGCTAAACAAGCACTCAAAGAGTCCTCTTAACGATGTTTACATTGATATAAGGCCATAATCGAAGTTGACAAAGCTGCGGTTTAGAGAGATTGTTATCATCGGCAGGGCCGCCCGTCACTTCGTTGCCCATGGTTTGCTATTCACATTTAACTCGTTCAGTCATTTGTTTTGTAACTTTGAATGATCACGAAAGCTGTAGTGGCAGCCCGTGATCTTTTCGTGATTCGAGGTTTCTTTCTCTGCGTCCGTTCGGTGTCCGCATTCACAATGTTTACATGTGCTGTAGTTCATGGCTCCACCTTCACAGTGCCCGACACAGCGCTACCGCAGTTAATCTTAAATCAAGCATGGCTTCTTGGAGGGAACTCAGCAGGGCGTCGAGACATTTCAAAAGCCCCAACACAAAGGCGATTTCGAATGCTTCCAGGGTTGTGATTAGCTATTGTTTCCCGCCGTAGGAGGTAGAGCGATTAAATATTACATCTAAAATATCTAGCGTGGGATCCTAACTAACTCCTCCGGAACATCGTGCCAAGCTCGCCAAAATGCTTGCGCATTTGACGTCAGAGAGCAGTTGACTTTTTATCTTGAGTTTCCGGTTGTTTCGCGGCTTTTGATTTCAGCAAATTTTTTCTAGACACTCTCTTGAGAAAACGCAATTTAATTACGTTTCTGCTACCCTAGACAAGGGTTTTTGTTTCAAGTGGACCAAAAACTACAGATGAACCATGGTGAGTTAGATCAGATTAAAAATATTGAAAAAAAATTCACTTCTTTCAGTCAAACTTCAAATTGATCATTCATTCGTTGCTAAACAGGAAAACTAAGGCTGTGTTTTTGTCTCGGAAACTAATAAAAATTTTACCTGTTGATCGGCCAAAAAAATATGTTAAATTAATTTTGTGTGCGCGAAGAACAGGAGGAACTGACTCAGTGAACGAAAAATCTCGCAATCAATGATCTCAAATCTACCCAAGAAAACTTTTTCATGTTTTATTCGACAGCCGGTTGTTATGCTGGATGGCCCTACGCTAACAGGCAGACGTTTCTTCTTGCAGACGCACGTAAACTGAGTGCTTCCAGTTGTGCTGTAGAGAGACGTAACAAACTTCGTCGACGTAACGTACAACTCCGAAAAATGTAGCAAAGAAGACTTTAACTGATCTGCCATACATGGCCTAAGCTAAAAGATCTCTTCTGTGATTGTGTCATGTGTAGGTTTAGTAACTAGTATATCTTTACAGGCCATGAAGGCGATTACGAGGTAACATTCATTCATTTTTAGTTTTCGTTGCATTTATAACCACGATGATACGGCGACTTTCTGTCTACCAATAGTCCTTAAACCCAGAGGAACTAATAATGTTTTTTACACGACCTTTACACGACGAGAGATTGTCAGAGAACCAGTACGTACAAAGTCCCGAGTCGAACATACAATGGTACTCAAGCCCTGAGTTTTACTGCGAGCTGAGATTTACTTCGAAATTCGAGTGAGTCGCGTCTGCGTTTTAGTTTACACGGATGTATCCGTTTCAGCTGGCCGTCAGAATATTCTTTAAAGCATAATGTGTTTGCTTGAAATAAAAAATACAATGCCATTTCACAGGTATAATATGGTCTCCATGATTTAAGGCAGACGTTAGGCGATAAACGTTTGGTACTCATGCCTCAGTTCACTTGCTTTCCATTTTTCGGATAGAGCCCATGAGGCTTTGGGATCCAATTTATGGCTGTGTTCCTTCCAAGGACCGTAAAACCTTTCAATCTGCGAGGGGGCAAAAGTTTGCTGGAGTCCTTCGTAGTTAAAAAGATTGCAAACAACAGAAACAAACCTCCCAGCTGTTTTCCCCCTCTACTCTTTCCGAAGGGAATCCCTTCTTTTTCTTCAATTTTAGAGCATAAAAATTATTTCCCTACCAATTCGTATTTGTCAGACGAATTCCTTGTTCCTCTCACAAAGAACCGTTTGCTTCACATAAAATCAGCGACAAAGAATCCTTGAAATAATTATTTACACTCTAAAATAAATTTTCCCATGAATGTAAAAAGTGATTTGGGGGCAGGCTGATTTAAAGGGCTTATTGTAAAGTGCTTTTCATGACAGCTGAAAAGTTAACGCTTAGAACCTAGCGACTCTATCTAGAAATTACTAGGGGAGTTGTTATGCTTGAAAAACTGCACTTCTAATGCAATCTGTTCGAAGATTTGTCGTCCTCTGAAATTACTGGGTAATTTTTGTAGCACTGTAATGACAGAGGCATCAAAATATATCGCTGTGGTTTAACCTCTTCTTTGAATTCTCGGATTTAAGGGAATATTCTAACGCAGATCTTTATGGAAGGTTCAAGAAAGACAATAAAACGAGGAAAGAAGGCCAAGGTGGCCATGTTTAATTAATACCGGTCCAGCTTTTCACTCATTACCGTCTCTTAACAATCATCACTTTTAGCTGAAAAGGAAGATAAAAATCGTGTTAACACGGAAGGAAGATAACAAATCTTCAATAGTTATTTTGGCGATAAATGGAATTTTATTTTTTACAGGTTAAGAAAATAAATTAAAAGGTTTTGTTTTTCCAAAATGGAAATCATCGCACAATGCAAACTGTCTTCGAGGCCGAGCGTCGTTTGATGCGCGAAGAAATAAGTAAGAAATGAACAGCTTTGCATCTGTTATAGCGATCTTACGACGCTGAAATATGGTTGAAAAAAAGGAGATCCTATGTGGCCAGTTTTGTTTTTAAAGTTGTTATTTAACACCACATTTTTCGTGACTCGTTCAGAAAAGTTTACTGTTAGCGGTAACCGGTGCGAACAGCATGGCTTCTAAATGTTTGTAATTGCTATGTTCTGCCTCACGAAACGTGACTTCTTTCGAGAATCCAATTCCCTTACTAATCCTTCCGCTCTACATTTCAAAATCTTTAGGCAAAAACCTTCCTTTCTTTATCTTAATTGTGTCCGTCAACTGTACATCTTCGCGACATTACCAAGGTCTTCCATGTGGCGTTCAACGATTGTTTTGTCTCTTCCTACCAACTGATTTACAGATTTCGTTGCGTTTGCTACAGCGCAGGTTAAGTGATTGCATCGTACCCTGCTAGCTTCAATATCTGTACACTTTCTCAAATTTAACCAACGATGCTGTTTGTAAAAGGAAACATATATTTACATCGAGAATAGAGAACCTGTACAAGCAGTAAAATTTAGCCTGTGAAAACACTTCATAGACACTCTCCTTTTATCGTCCTATTTTAAAATTAAAAAGTGCTTCCTTAATTTACAACTGTGTAAATCGTTTACAACTGTCTCAAGGGATGAAACTTCTGGGTTTAGAACTAACTCACATTACTTAGTTTAACCCAGTTCCTGAAGGTTCCAAGTTCCTCTCATGAAGACATCTTTACAGTTTTACCTAATTTGTGCATTTATCTCGTTCACGCTTTTCGACTACAAATATCGAATATTTCGAGTCGTTTGCAAACCTGCAGCTAACAAGAATACCATTCTGAATTGTTCTCAGTGTTTGAACGCGGCCTAGGCGAAGGAGACCTGGCCGAAGGCTTGATCGGACTGTCTCTGTCCGAACTAATACTGTCCCGCTGTCCGTTCGTTTGTGAAATAGGCGGCGACAATGGCCTTAGTCCACCAGTCTCGTGAAGTTTCATGTGTTTTCTGAGCGAACTTGGGTGCGTGTAGCTTTTGTTGCACCCCTCAATTTTACAGATGTACGGTTTGTCTGAAGTATGGACATGCGAATGCTTTTTCCGGTCGCTCGAGTTGGCGAAGCGACGATCGCAACCGGGGAACTCGCATTCGAACGGCTTCTCACCCGTGTGGGTTCGTTTGTGAATTTTTAGATTTTCTGACCTAGCAAACAGTTTTCCACATCCAGGAAAAGGACAGGGGAAAGGTTTCTCCCCGGTATGGACTCGAATGTGGTTTACCAACTTGTATTTCGCCTTGAAGGGCTGCCCGCTCCTCCCACACTCTTGCCAGTAGCAGACGTGCAAGTTGGAATCGTTAATGCTCACATGTTCGTCGGAGATGTGCGATACTAAATCGGGCATCATGGTGAACTGCTTGCCACAAGGTTTCCGTTTGCCTTGGACCGGGTTCTGATCTACCCAGAGGCAGGTTAGAATTTGATTTGTGGGCTGTTTCATCAACGGAAGGTGATACATTCCGGGTCCAGTTGGCCCTCCATATCCTGGCGGGCCATGATCCAAGAAAGGACTTCCAAGACTACCTTGCGCAAACCGATCGGTTCGAGAATAAAAGTCTCCTCGATATCTGAGCTGATTATTGAGTACCGGTGGCATTCCATGATGTGGAGAGGTTGCCTCGTGTCCTGGTGTAAGTGCTCCGTAGTGTATATGTGGATTGCTCGTGACATCTAAGCCTTTATGCGTCACTGCGTGATGGTAGTTTATGTTGTTTCCGTGAATTGCAGCGGTTGGTGGCGAACTGAACATGTTGTGCCTATGTGAGTAATTGGGTGTGTTGGAAGCGATGGGGTCGTGAAGAGCTAGCGAGTGGGAACTCGCTATGTTGGCAGAGCCTAAGTGCGAGTCCTGGTGGTGGATAAACTCGTGAGGTGGGAAGCCTTGGGAAGAAACATGACGATACGCAGGAAACGAGTGGTACAGAGTCTGCTGCGAAGACATCCCGGGCGGTTTTTGATCGAAGGCGACAGCTTCTGCTTGTGCTCTGTGAGCCGCAGCAAATCTGATCGACGAAAGATGGCTTCCTGAGTCCAGCAAGTGATTCATTCCTAACGGCGGCTCCTTCTTGTGTTCGTTAAAGCCCACGGTCGAGGTAGTTGGCAAGTTGTTCGAGGACGAGGACCGAAGAGCTGCACCCTCAAATGGCAATGAATAGCGTTTGGCGAAGCCGCCGTCCATTTCAAGGTTTCCCCGGGTTTTGAATATGGAACAGCTCTAGGCAAGTGTAAATAATAACGAGGCAAACTATTATTAAGGAGAGACTACGCGAAAGTTTTGAGTGTAGTAGCATATGTTACACCGTTAAAACACAGCGTGAGACTCTGCTGACAATTGTCCTGCCAAGAAAGCACGCATGAGCAGTAAAATGATCCCGGTGAATATTATGATTAGTCGTCTCCCGCAGAGCTGTGGTTATGTTCCTAATTGTTTGATAGCTTCTGAAAACAACACTATATTTGGCATTCCTTTTCTTATTGACTAACACAGGGTACAAACCATTTCACCAGATTTGAGTGTTAGATCACGCATGAGATAAAGAACATTAAATCGGAAGTGGGCGCTCGCTTTCCCTGAGAATCAAACGCCTGTCCACTCCGCTTTTTTCGTGGAGCATCGCGCGTTCATGAAGTCGTTCAGTAACAGCTACATTGCAGGTGAGGTTGCCGTGATAGACATGTAGGGAGGGACACAATTTGAAAAGCGCAGCAGGAAAGAATAAACACCTTGAAGCGATGTCACTCAACATAGCTATTGCTGAGCTTCTTGATGAAAGTTCCCCTTAAGAGCGACAAAGGGCACCCCTAAGACCGTCAAACTCGAAGGCTTTTGCTTTACATAACGGGATTTGTGGCGGCTTATAGATCTGGTGTTTTTACACCCTTGCGCTTTATCTACAGTGTTTGTCGCGATAAATTTATTAACACCCCGAGAGACACAATACTATTGACAAAAATCGCCGGGAGTCGCCACAGTTTGGCTTTGCTTTGCAAGCGACGTGCGATTCACGCCAATTCATCATTCAATTGTCCTTGGAGTTCTTAAGCAGACCGTGCAGGGTTGGCTAATCATCGACGAAAGCTCACGATATACGTTTCCCTATTCAACTGCGGAAGCTAGTAACCACTATAAAAAAGTCATTGATAAAAATGTCAGATGTTATCTCTAAGCTCTTCTCACTCAGAATAATGAATCAATAAAGATGTTAAGTGGTCCCGATCTCCGACTATTAAACAGGACCTGGCCACAGAAAAGCGTAAGACCCTGAATTTCATTTTAGGTGAGTTTAATTAAGGGCCACACTAAAGTGACTACCACTGCTAGGCATAATTCATGCACGTCAAGGCATTGTTCTTTCCAGTTTGAACTGTGGTGAAGCAAGAGTGTTTATACTTCGTATGAAGGACACGGAATCGTTTGTATAAATAGGTTCACCGCGCGGGGGCGCACCTCTTTCGTGGCTTTTTTAATTGAATGTATTCACGCTCACTGTCTGACTAATTTCCGCGGTTTTGAAGCCTAGTAGTGAACGCTGCAAAGCTGCAGATTAGTTTTCAACGAAAAAAAAAGACAATTTCTCTCATTCCCCGCTACGAAGGAGGTAATTATTATTGCGGCTTATTGAATTTTAAGTGGCAATTCACAACTTGACAATTCCTGAGTGAGTCGTTTGATGCAATGGAAATTGTCCAAAAAACTGCTATCATAAGAACTGGGATGTGCCACCGAAACTTGCAGCCGCATCAATAGATTGATTCGCGAATCTGAATTAAATTGAGACCAGTTTAATCCTTGAGGCTATTTCGCGCGACATAATACCACTGTTGTAATATACCGGGTCATTGTCTTTGTAAACATACTACAAACCGGTAACCTTGCTTGATCAAAAGATATTTCATTTTTCCTTGGTCATTAACTGTGGTGATATCAATCATATTGAGTAAAAGAACAACACGACAGCTCGGGTGCGTATGCGTGTGAAATATTTTACTTATCTCACGCCTTTCCATTTTTTTATTGGATTAGTTATCTCTTGGTTGATATTCTTAAGATTTGAAGCTCGTTTTGTTCTTAAAAATGAAGAGTGCTATTATCTTTTGCATGTTTAACTTCTAGTTTATTTCTCAAGCAAGCGGATGTGTCCACCTGCTTCTGTTTACATCTCTGATATCACTCAGCTGTCTCAATTATTTTCCCTAACTTTCATGAAATAAATCAAACAGATAATTGTGCTCCTCGCGTCGGAAATGTGATTGGTTCTAAAAATTGGACAGTTCGTGACTTTAGCTTGAGCAAGTCCATTTGCCCCTAGTAATAATGACTTGAACCACAGTTAAACTAAAAAAAAGATAAAACTTATCTCTGGTTCATTTTACGCATTTTATTTTGCATGTGTATATTTATGTTTTATATGTATCCGGTGAAGCCGCCCGCCGCCTGAGAAGTTAAAGGTTTCTTTTCTCTTTTTAATAAACTGCACTGTGGTGAAGTTTCCTTTAATCACACCGTAACCACCATGAAATAAAAAAAATTAAAAAAGAGTTCACGTCGATCGCAGCAGCGAATGAAAGCTCAAAATTGACCCCAAAATCGTGTAAAATTATTCACTTGAATATTTTTCCAGCAGAGTAAAATTAAAAGGTGAAAGTACACATTGAAGCAGCTTTGTTTTAATTCCAGCATTGCAAAGACTGATATCACGAGAATCATCATGTGTAATACTTTATAGTTTTGTCGACTTTCTCCGGAGACGCCGCGTCTTTTAAAGTGGGAATCAAAGGCGTATTTTTGGCGGCTGGATTGGTTCGTTTCTGCACATTTACATATACGTGCTTGCCTACAGCTAGAAAACTTGATTACCAAAAGCCGCCCTTGGAGAGAGCGACCCAAACATAGCAATTATACAAAGTTCTACCAAAATCACTTTGTCTACCATATTTAATTCCTTTAACTTTAAAAGTCATTCCCAGAAATAAAATTAAAGATAACACGGGTTTTTCTCTTTTCTTAACAACTTTCCTGTTGCGATATATCGAAAATGCGGTGGGAATTCTCGAATGGTCCTTACATTCGGACATATTTTGTATTTTTACCCTTAATATGACAAATATTCTGCTGTGTTATTGTAGTTTAGGGAATTACCATACAAAAAGACAAAAATGTCTTTCTCTTTTTATTCACGCCTTTGTGAATTAACTTTGAGTGTAAAGTAAGGTTTAACATTCAATTTTTACATGCAAAGTCATGGAAAAAGTGCTTAACATTCAGTCCACGAGAATGTTGACATTGTCAACAATGAATCTTTGCATTGTCGCACTTAGGGAGAAGTATTTCGATTTACTTCAAAGAGTCTTATCCACTGATATATTGTCCTTGAAAGCAAGTCTATCGACAGCCGCGAAAAATGTTCAGATTAAAAATATCTAAGACCGAGTTTTAGTAACCATGCCGCTTTCAGTAGCTATGTTTGCAAATACGCTAGATATTTACTCATAGCAATTGTATTTCGAAGGAAAGGGTCTATGATCCTCTGTTCGCTGCAGGCTTAATAGATTTAGTGCATAGTTAATTAAAGTCTTCTTCCTTGTGGAAATAACTAAAGCTCTACTGGATGTGAGTGTGCAGTGATTGTGCTCAAATGGCACCCACCTTGAAAAATAATGCCAGAATTTTCGTATCCAACCTCAAAACAGACTTCGTATTAAAGACATTTTGTTGTGTGTCCTGTTTTTGTCCTCCTCGCAACAGGTCGCTTGTACCGTGCATGCAAGCTGGTTAATGAACTTTGCGGTCGAGTAGGAGGGAAGAATTTACTTTTTAAGCCTCTTTTAACAAGAGTATTTGTAAGGGCACGCGTGGACATGAAATGGACTCCCTTTGTGAACATGTTTGTCATACTGTGGACAACTATGGCCTCATGCAAAGAGCAAGACTAAATTTCCGTCATGTCAAAATTATTGCTCGATAGCTAGAATATTCGCTTTTATTATCTTATTTTTTGGTCGTAGATCCTAAGGGAAGGCTTTGACCCCGAAGGAGAGTCTTGGTATTTTTCGACCTTTCTTAACTTCGTTCAGTTTCCTATCGGGTTTACGGCTTTCATGTTAAATATGTCAGAAATCTTGCTTCTGATATTTTTCGCTGCTGGAGTTTTTAAAGATCAGTTTTCTGGGTCAGTTGAGCGAATTCTTAGCACGTTTTAAGAAGGAAAACGAACGCTTAAAATGTTTCGAATTTGCCACATGAAATTTGAAGTGTTTTGGTTTTTGATTTTAGAGCTTCTGAGGAAACTATAGATTTTACTACGTTCAATTTTTGTTTTGGTCACGAATTAGAATGCCGCTTTTTTATGTTTTATTTTTTAAAATCAAAGTCATTGCTGGGTCAACCTTTTCTCTGGTTAGCATAATTAACTTTTCGGCTTTTCGAGTAAATTTCATATCTTGGAAGCGCCCGCAAGATCTTGATCAAATGTTAGCTTTCGCGGCCTAGAACAAATCGCAGGAAACGTATAGTGATTAAAAAAATGATGACTTAGTCACAAGCTGTCTCTTGTGAGAACGTTCATAAAACCACCGGAAACTGGTAATAAATTACTTCCGAAAATTTCCTTTTGCTTCGATCGTGTTTACATTCACTCTTTGTGTGCTGGAGCCATTAACGGCGGATAAAAAAAGAGATGCGAATAATTTGGATACACGGGATCGGCAAATTGGCTCGTATTTTGAACGTTTTGCATGAGTTGTTCCTTTGTGGCGACACGGAGGCACCTGTGTTTCAAATGGCCAGGCGCCGCTCTATCTGTCAAACTCGTTGATAGGCTCATTTGCCCAGAGGCTAGCTCGAACAAGCGCCCTCCATTGGTCGTCAAATGGGAAAATTTCAGTCCAATTTCGTCTCATCAAAGAGTTTTTTACTCTCCGCGTTGTAATTAATCTTCCTTATAGGGCACATTTTTTTGAAGCAAATGGCTCTGGTCCAAGCCACAATCTCATTTGGCCTTATTTAAGAGGAATTTAAGAGCAAGTATTGTTGACCCGAATTTGAGTGCATGGACAAATAACACAGACATAATTGTCATAGAGCACAAATAATTCATTGATAAATGTCGGGGTTTATTCATTGCGCGAACAATCATTGACAACACTTTTTGTATTCATTGCCTCTTTGGTTATCTAAACGTTAATTTAAGAAGAACCTGTCTTCTTCTAGGAGAATAGAACGCAAAATTATTCAGGAAAATACAGTGTTCACATTGTTTCCTTTAGTGAATCAAGCTTAACACAGAAAAGACATCTTATCCCGCAGAAAGTGCTAGCGTATGCGACAAAGAAAGCACACTCTTTTAAATTGATCTCTGCAATTAAAGAGCAGAGCTATGGCAAAATAGCAGTAAGGAACATTGTTTGTGTTTTAAGACACTTCGATCTGTTTTTCGCTTCTTGAGGTTTTCTTCTTCTCCGCTCTTAACCGCTCTCTAGTTATAAATAGTAGAGTGCCTTTCAAAATATTAGGAGAGTCAGTATATGAAACACGCTCGCTTTTCGTCTCGACCTTTCTGGGGGGAAACAAAATGAATTAACTTCTTTATCCTAATCCATCGAAATACGAAGCAAACATCTCTTAAAGACCCTTAGAAAACAATGTGCTTAAAACACCTTCTTTAACACGACCAAACGCCTTACCTTTATGTTGTTAATAAGCAAGGGTGATAAAAGTTCCATGTTTTTGTTCACTTCTTTTGACATTTACAGACTGCTAGACAATGAACAAGCATTCAGCTTAGTTCTTGCGTGTTGATATCCTTTGTTATCACAGCCACGTCAGTGCTTCAGCAACTTTTGTTTTTACAGACAAGTTAAAAGGCTGTATGAGCTTTGTTTAGTTACCCGCAGTTTGCAAATATAACGGACAAATATAAACGACTGGACACGGATTAAGAGGAACTATAACTACGGTATCGTGCCTTGTGTGTGAATTACCAACAAAATTTGGCCACATTGAAAAAAAAACTATATATATATCAATTGATATTTGCATATGAAGTTGAACCACAAGTCTTTTCATCAAAATGAACCATTTTCTTTCCAGAATTATTTGACAGCTTCAATTTTAACGGACAGCCGGCCAATTTAACATGAAATTTAGGCAATTTTATTTCTTTGGAGACAACGACTTACTGGGAAAAAGTTACGCTTCAAGATGGAAGACAAAGGTTCTGCATTTTCGTCAGGTAAGTATACCACAATTAGAAAGATAGAAAGCCTACCGCTTTGACAAAATGTGCTAGACACATCTGTACCGCAGTTGTGGCATACTGTATCACATAGATAAAACGAAGATTATTTTAAACTTTAGAAATTGAACGTCCAGAAAACTGTTCACCGCCTGCACTTGATAAAGCATAAAATAGATATCGCTCTTTCGTTTTGGACCCTCATCGTGTTATCTGTACGCCGGGAGGCAGCCGAGATTCGATAAGAACTTATTACTAAGTCTGAAGCAAGTTCACTGCATGCATGAATGTACAAAAACTAGCAGATCTTGGGCAGCTGAAAGCCGAGCGGTGATTTTCACAAGTAGGAACCATA